GATAGCAATATGAGGAAATTCTTGACAATATTTTAATAACCACAACACTTAAGGAGAGATATCCAGGTTATAGATTGGAGTTCCCTCACTGCATTGAACATTTTTTTTTCAATACTGTAACTGATCTTTCTCCTGCTTGTAAGATGTTATTGCTGTAAGTGCTGAACTCCTTCCATAAGCTAGTCAAAAACATATCTGCCAGCTCCTGCCTTTCAGATCTCACCATTTATCACTGTAAATTTGACTAGCTTGTGGAATTTGTTTGACATTTTCTCCCCTATATATTCTCCTGCATAGAAGATTGATAAAATTACTACTTTTATCAAATTATAACATAAATTTCAGTGGTACATCTTAATACTTATCTTTTAAAACACTCGAAAAAAATTCAGCATATGAAAATCTAGAAATTCTTCCTAGACTGAAAACATCTGATTTTCTTTTCTATTTTCCTTCTATACACTTATTTTCCTGTGTGATTGCTGTTTGTAATCAGTATCATTTTCCAATTATAGCATCGGCATTAGTCTTTAAGAGGAGAAAGCAAAAATGCCTTCTGTTGGCTTTTATCTTAAGAAGAAAAAAAAAGATCTTACTTGCCCTCCATATCAAACTCTTGGTGGATTTCCTGTGTGGAGTTCCAATGCCTCAACCTGAAAAAATACTCCCTAACTCCCCATTTCAAGAATCATGGTTATCAAGAAGATACACATACAATCAAATGAAAGAAAGAAAAAAAAACCTGGAACAATCCATATGTTTTTCTGTGTTGAACTGAATTAAAAGTCTTACAAATGATACTAGTAAAGGATTTACACAAATGTAAATTTTTACATAGACTTAAATGATCTCTCTATCTTTTCCTAAAATTATACCAACCTCTGGTGGGGATCATTAGAGACTTGAGCTAGGCATGACAGATGCTTTTCAACCCTCATAATAGTAATCACTGCATAGCTTTGTGTACTGGGAAGATTATGAGTTTGGGACAGGGTTTAGTAAAAAATAAATAGTGCAAGCTCTAAATTATATGAATAGCATAGTTATTGGTTAATGTAACAAAGTAATTTATATGTTATCTATGATCTAAGCCTAATCTACTCTTCCTGCAGAAATTCCTTACCTTTTCTGTGAAAAGATAATAAAACACATTCAATGAGCAGAATTTCATTGAATACTTCATCATTTCTAATCATAAGACGATGTATTCTATCTCAATTATGAATTAATAATTAAGCAATATAGTACAACTCGCTAATTTAGTTTCATTGAAGATGAGTCAGTCATCAGAAAAAAATAAAACACTGCCATTATTTTGAGGTAACCTGTTAAGTGGGGTTAAATAATGGGACTTTGAGGGCTGGGGATATAGCTCAGTTGGTAGAGTGCTTGCCTCGGATGCACAAAGCCCTGGATTCACTCCCAAGCACCACCAAAAAAAAAAAAAGTGGGGGGGATTTGTATTCAGGGAACCCTATAGGATTTTAAATAGACCCATTTACAAATTATGGTGTATATTTGTCATCCCAGAGTAGCACAAGACACAACCTGTATAACCATACCTGATAGTAAAGGTGTCTGAAATATAAAAGAAAGAAATAGCATAAAATATAACAATGACAATATTTATTCACCTATTTACAACATACAGAGGGAAGTGCACTAATATTATTGAAGCATATATTAACTTAGGACTTAACATACCTTTTGTCTTTATTCACCACATAATTTATTTAATCATCCTAATCTGCATATTAAGACAAAATAACAACTGTAAGGAAAACTTTAGTATAGCACATCTCCAAAACATTAGAGATTTAACATTGGCCATGTTCAAATTAATAATGTCTTATCTATCGCCCGGTCACTCCACGTTTGATAAGGCTGTAGAGCCTGAATAGAAACCAAGAGGCTGTGAATTTTCCTCAGGGCAAGAATAATTCTTCAGTCTTAACAATTCATTTAAGTGCTAAAACTCAGTTGGTTTCCAATATCCTAAAGCATCCAGACATTTCACAAGGAGTTACAGGTTCTAAAGTTAGTGGTCTTGGATGAAGAAAACCCTTGGATTAAGGGCAAGTTGTAAATTTTATGTAACATATAAGAGGTTGAAGGCACAAAGCACTAACTATGGAAAGACTATTTTGCAGAATGAGATGTCAATGGAATTTCTGAGTCCTGCCCTGCATTTGCCTTGCCTATCATTTTAGAATAGATCTTATGGGCTTATAATTGTTTTAATTCTTTGCTGTGCTGTTTGTAAATGTTAATTTTCAGCAATGCTAGAATTTATGAAGCTTGATATTTAATATTAGGAGAAACCTATATAATGAAGTGTTTTCATATAATGAAAAAATGGGGAATTCATTTTTGTTCTTTATGGTTCTGGTGATGGCTGAAGTAGACAAACATCTACTTTGCTTGGTGCTGAAGCAGCAAGGCAAATAGAAAAAAAAATATCAGGTAGAAGGACTTTCACTGATGGCAAGATTTATGAACATTGACAGAGTTATTAATAGTCTTCATGATGTTTATATTCTAGCAAAGAAATCAGCAATAAACAAATAAGTAAAACATACATAGAATATCTAAAGATGAAAAGATATTAATAAGTGAGGAGGCCGAGTGTGGTGGTGCACACCAATAATCCCAGTATCTCTGGAAGCTGAGGCAGGAGGATCACTAGTTCAAAACCAGCAACTTAGTCCCTAAGCAACTCAGTGAAACCTGCCTCTAAATAAAATACAAAAAAATCAGGGTAGGGGTGTAGCTCAGTGGTTAAGTGCCCCTGGGTTCAATCAGTACCAAAGGGGTAGGGGGAAAAAATGAAGAGGGTTAGGGCGTGATGGGACAATAAATTGGAATGTTAACTAGGGTGGAGAGTGATACTGTGAACAAAATATAACAGGATGGTATGATAGCAGGTAACAGAGGCAGCCCTTTAGATTGCATGGTTGAGGAAGAATTTCTTGCCACACTAACATCTAATGTGACTCCTTAATGATGAAAGATAGATGTGCCGACATTTTGGAGAAGAATCTTCAAAGGCCCTTAATGAGCAGTGGTCTTGGAGTGTTGGATGAACAAAAGCCAGTGTGCCGGAAATAAAATGAGGAGCAACTATGTACTGAGATGAAATTCCAGGCACAGGCAGTGACATTGGCCAAGGGAAGGTTTTCATTCTTTATCAAGGTCTGTATATATGAGACATCTTGATTTGGGGTACCATTCCCCAAATGTGACTAAGACACTTATTTCATGGTGCTGAATGATGGGGATATAGCACTGACCAAGAGAGATGCCAGCCTTGTCTCACACACACACATATATATATCTGATGGAAAAGCTACAAGTGAAATTATTACAAGTATTATAAAGTCTGAGGTCTCAATATGAGATATGTCATTGATGATTTTAATAAAGGAGGGTTGACTTAGCCAACAGCCTGAGCCCAACATATATGCAGCAATGAAATACTAATTTGCCTAACATATTTTACTATACAAAGTTATTCCTAGATATTTCTATCTACTGTAACAGCAGACTACATTTTGAAAATAATTTATGAAGTGCTTTATAATGTTCTAAGTCTTTTCATATGCATTATTCTATTTAATATTCACAAAATCTGTGATACAGGTCAATCAATTATAATTATCTTCATTTTAAAGATGAATAACTGAAGACCTGAGAATTTAAATGATTTATCTACATTTATGAAATGTGTCAGTAATATAAGCAGCCCTAGCCTTATTCTATATTATGCATATTACCAAAGGTCTGGTCTGAACTAAACATAGCAAAATTCCTTACTCAATATAGCACTAGGCATTTAGTTTGAAGGCAAAAGAAAGAGTGTACAGAACATCCTCATTCCTAAGAAACATGCATATATTTAGGAAGGTCTGCAGGTCTGTGTGCATATTGAGTTAAGGAATGCTCAGATTGGTATCGGATTGTTCTATAACCTTGTCTTAACAAAAATTAATTTTTGAATTGGACACATAAATCATGGCTAGTTCTTGATTTTTTTCATTCTGGAAATTCTCAGATTTTTTTTTTCTTTTCCTCTTCTCAAAATCAGTGCCAATCAATGAATCTCACCATTTTCTCTGAGTATATTACTTAGTTTAGAAATCCACAGTTTCTTCACCTCATAGATGAATCTTAGCCTACTGTCTTTCTCTCTGCAGAAGACTATCACATAGATGCAGACATTCCAGAAAACTTCACTCAGCATTCTCTCCTCATTATCTTATTCCCAGTTCTAAGCCCAATGCCAAGATTTCTATTTGAACGACTACCTCCTAGGATGCTAAATTGTCAACCTTTAGGAAACATCATTCTTTTAGCCTCCCTCTATTTCTTAGGAAATCAGTAGAAATTTCTAGTCAATTTGCAACTCTGAATTGGCTGCCTTACTAAATGAACATTCTCTATTGTTCTCAAATAGAGGAGTGATATTTCATTTCTAATTTTTGCTTTAAGTCAATAAATACCTGCCTCTATTGATATTGATCATTTTGTACTACATTTTATAAAAAGACAGCACCTGGCACACTGTCACACAAAAATACACTTGCTATTTTAAAATATTATCATTGCCCTATTACAAATATCACATCTACTACTATCGATATAAGTGTTTTCTCTGTTAATTATAAGTTGTCAAAAACACAGGCCTAGTGATTAAGACAAAATAAAAATGTATAACATCAATTATATATTTGGGCTTACAGGTTTATCTGATTCATCACGGCTGTGAATTGATGCATGGGTGCAATATACTGAAGATGAATACTGTGATCAAACCAGCAGTATGTGACGACATGCCAGTTCCCTTGCTAAGTGATGTTGGTGTCCTATTTATTATAGCTCTGTATCAACCCTATGGATAGTTTGCAGTACAAGTGTCCTTCTAAAAAGTTCATGAAGATCAAAGGCCCATTTTTACATAGAAACCAAAGAGAAGCACTTTTGTAAAAAATGAAAACACTTACGGGAACCAGGAATTTTTTAATCTCTTCCAATGCATGACTCATACGTGAATAAGCTTCCCCAGGAGGAGCAAACACTTCAATTAATACATGAAGTTCATCACTCAAGTGGGCATATTTGGCTTCCCCACTCTTCCTTAATTCTTCTTCCTGTGAAAGAGGTTATTTTTAGAAATACAAATCTACTCATTTTGCATTGATTTAACATTTACCGAGAATGACAAAAGGGCATAATCTAAGCAAATTTTCCACGAGTAGAAAGAAACCCTGTGAGAAATAAAAATATGCTACAAACCATTTAAAGATTTTTAAAATGATTTTTGAGTGTTTCAGTGCTTTTAAAAGCCCTGACATAATTATGCATCTACAACAGATTTTAATCAGCTAAATGAAAATGCTCAACATCAGAAAACAAGTCACAGAAATGCCATTAACTCTTTCATGCACGTTGCTACATTTTGCAAGGAAAATATTTTGTGTGTGTGTGTCTAATGAATCGTATTTTGCAGATAATAAGCAGATTATCACAATGTTCCTTAAGAAAACTAAACTCTCTACTTTTTGAGAATTTATAGATTATTTGCTCATGATAAAAGGTACATAGGCAAAACCACGGCTTACCTCCCAGTCCCTGTTCCCATTGCCGAAGTAATCATTGAGCTTCATGCCCACATGTTTTCTATCATTCAGTCATTCACTGCATTGTTTTGGTCAACAGGGGTATGTTAATGGAATGGTAGTTAAATATCATGTTGGCATTAATTCTGTGAGAGCTATGTAGCATCTGATTAACCAACAATATGATTTTCTTGGATAAGAGTTGTTTTTATATGGTTCTGTGCTCAAGTCATTATTGAAACCTGATTAATTCAGTGTAAATGCAGAGCAAATCTGCATATTGATAAATTTATTTTTGTTCATGTGCACTAAGCATTTTTCACATATCATTTCTAATCACAATATCTTGCACATATTCACATATTACAGATTAGGAAAAAGAAAACTTTAGTAGCTTCAGCAAAGATCAGATTCAAAAAACATAGCTCATCCTGCAGCTAGGTTTGCATTTTTTTGAAATTTCAAAGGAGCAAAATTTGTTTAAAAAAGTTAACATAAACATTATTAATTATGTGTACCTTTCTTGTCCTCAACAGTTCTTAGTGAAACAATGAACACTTATTTCATTAAATTTCAAATTTCAAACACATAATTTTGTTTTCTTTGAAGATTAAATGGAAAAGCCATATGAATAGACCTAACCTGGATAAACAAAAACAAATTTGCTATTGATTTCATGGGTCAACTGTGTGACCCATGCTAATGTGAATGTGTATCTGACTAGAAATATACAGTGTTTGAGAACATGAAGGATCTGTGAAAGAGACAGGAACGTGCTCTGCTGTGTGTGTGTGTGTGTGTGTGTGTGTGTGTGTGTGTGTGTGTGTGTCCTTCAACTCCTCAAATTTCACAATAGGAGCACCTTTCAGACTCATAATCTACTCTCTACTTCCCTAAGAATACTTTCTCTCTTAGACTAGAACTTTTTAAAAATTTGTTCTTTCTAGATAAACATGACAGTAAAGTGTATTTTCATGCATTATATATACACAAAACAAGTACAACTTGTTCCAATTAGAATCTCCTTCTTGTGGTTGAGCATGATGTGGGGTTACATTGGTCGGGTATTTACAAATAAGGATAAAGAAGTTATGTCCAATTCATTCTACTGACTTTTCTATTTCCATCCCCCCTCCTGTCCCTTCATTCCCCTTTGTCTAATCCAATGAATTTCTATTATTCTCTAGTGATGTTTTGGGTTAGCGTCTTCTCTATCAGAGAGAAGAGTCTCATTTTTTTGGGGGGGGGATAGGCTTATTTCACTTAGCATAACATTCTCCAGTTCCAACCATTTATAAGCAAACACCAAAATTCCATTCATCTTTATAGCTGAGTAATATTCCATTGTGTACATATACCACATTTCTTTTTCTTTTTCTTTTTTTCTTTTTTCTTTATATATGACAGCAGAATGCATTACAATTCTTATTACATGTATAGAGCACAATTTTTCATATCTCTGGTTGTATACATAATATATTCACACCAATTCGTGTCTTCATACATATACTTTGGATAATAATGATCATCACATTCCACCATCATTAAATACCCCACGCCCCCTCCCTTCCCATTTGACTCTTCTGCCCTATCTATAGTTCATCTATTCTTCCCATGCTCCATCTCCCTATCCCTTTTATGAATCAGCCTCCTTATATCAAATAAAACTTTTCATCATTTGGGTTTTTGAGATTGCCTAATTTCACTTAGCATTATTTTCTGTAACTCCATTTAACCTATAAATGCCAGGATTTTATTCTCTTTTATTGCTAAGTAAGGGCACCTAGGTTGGTTCCATAGACTGGCTTTTGTGAATTTACCTGCTGTAAACTTTGATGTGGCTGTGTTACTGTAGTCTCCTGAATTTTTGTCCTTTGGGTATGAACCAAGGAGTAGAATAACCAGGTCAAATGGTGGCTCCATTCCAAGTTTTCTGAAGAAACTCCATACTGCTTTCCAGACTGGTTGCACCAATTTGTAGTCCCACCAGCAATGTATGAGTGTACATTTCCACCCACATCCTTGGTAATATTTATTGTTACTTGTATTCTTAATAATTGCCACTCTGACTGGAGATGGAATCTCAGTGTAGTTTTTTCATTTCTCTAATTGCTAGAGATGTTGAACATTTTTTTTTTCATATATATTTTTGACCACTCATGTTTCTTCTTCGATGAAGTGCCTGTTCAATTCCTTTGCCCATTTACTTATTGGGCTATTTGGAAATTTTGGTGTTTTTTGAAATCTTTGTATGTCCTGGAGATTAATGCTCTATCTTTGATGCTGATGATTCTCTAGGCTCTCTCTTTACATTCCTGATTGTCAAACTAGAATTTTTGACTTAATGGTTTTTCTTAGTACCTGATTCTCAATTTGGGAAGGAGAATCAGCTTTGAATGAATGTACCATGAAGTGTAGTAAATATTTCTTTTCTCTTTAGGGCCTGCTGGGATGTAAGCTGCTTGTTAATTCAGAGGCCATCTTGGCATGAATATAAATGCTAGAGTAGTGAATTCAGAGATTTCTTGATGCTGACCCCTTCTCATTACTTCCCCCCAAAATTTCCAGCTGGTTTTTGAGGGATTCTTGCTAGACACATTTGGTATGTGGCCTGAGTCTCTGAGATTACAGGTGTGTGCTACCATGCACAGATAATCTAAGAGTTTTAAAAATCAAACATTACGGTGGTAGAAAGTGTGAAAGAGGAGGAAGGTGGCAGCAGTAGACTGGTTGATCAGGAGGAGTGTTCTCATCTCCAATACTTGGAAATCCAAGTTATTATGTAGGATGATTTCTGTATTTTTAACCCTCTTAAACATTTTTTAAAACTACTAGCTTGATATTCTTCAAATAATAAATCTGCTTTTCTCAAGGTATTTAGTGAGTTCCACAAGATGGAGCTAGCTGATTTAGCAGATATATCATCCAGTCTCAGAGTTTCAACACAATAGAAATTTATTACCTGTCACCAAGTTCCCAATAGGTGTCCATCTGGGGCACCTTTCTCTACACAGATATCTAAGTATGCAGGATTTTGCCATTCTTTGGTTCCTCAACCTTCATTGTTTCACTGTGGAGACCATTAATGGAGTAAAGAATATGGTGAACAACCTGTGGAAGGTTTCCGTGAGACAACCTAAAATTAGCATCTGATAGTCCTGACTGTACCCCCTAGTAAAGAGGATATTGAATGTGTCCTAGTTATGAAATCAGAAGGAAGAAGGCATGGGCTGGTGAATATTCACTATCTTCCATAGAAGAGAAATGTTCCAGGATTGTTTGGTTCAATGGAAATACATTTTAGTAGCTACATTAAAAATACTAAGAGAGAAGTAAAGTTAATTTTAATGATAGGTGTTTTCAAACAATATATCCAAAATATGATATGCAATTAATATAAAGATATTACTAAGATATTCAGATATTTTTTCTCATGCTGTCTTTGAGTGCAGTGTGTGTTTTATACTTACAGCATATATCAATTTGACCTAACCACATTTCAAGTGCTCAATAAGCACATGTGCCAGTGGCCATCATACTAAGATACCACCTTTCTATGTTTTTCAGAGAAAAAAAAGTAAAATCTGACAAAAATATTGGCCATCAAATTTGTAAATTTGGATGATAAAACCAACATCTAAGATAAAATCATAAATAACTAGACATTTTGTCTTTACCTTGAGCAGGGAGCAGAAAACAGAGAAAAAGTTTAGTTTAAACATAGATGTAGAGAATATTTTTTAAAGAAAAGACTCAAGCATCTATCTCATTCAAGCATCCTTATCTTCAACTGAGAAAACTAAAGTTTATGTACTAATCAACTTCCTATAGCCTACAGAATAAGTGAAGATTGAAGCCAGGCGTTAGGCAGGATTGGGTAAAAATGCTAATAAAGATTAAAAAAATAACAAAAAAAAAAGTGAAACCAGCAGAACTATCATAAGCTATTGTGGATTGTTCCCAAAGTGAGGATTTTCTTTTCTTTTCTTTTTTGAAGGTATGTTGTTTGAACTCACCCACCAGGTGACTTTTGACAAAGGAAAAACTTCCAAAGATTTACTTTATCTTTGATATTAATATAATAATACTTACCTCATAGGACTCTGTATGTTTTAAGAAATTTGAAGAGCATTTTATAAACTAGAACATTGTATACAAATATCTTATTATTATGATTCTCCATATTCTCAAGTAGTATTAGTAAGATACTGTTTGGTTTTTTCAACAGAGACCAAAAGAAATGTGGCTGAAGCAAGTAGGTGAGTTATTTCTTTCTCAAGTCCAAGTCTGAGCTTAGGTATCTATAGGGGCAGATGGCCCTTCTCAGCACTCATATCCAGAGATCTAGGTTCCTTCTGTGAAACTCAAACAGCCCCTAGGATGTTGCTCTAATCTGTATTAATCAAGGAAGCTACACAGTCTCCATCATTTTTGCATACTCCTCCATGGGAAGAGAAAAGAAACAGTGGGAGGCAAAGCTTGTAAGGGCATGCACTGGATGTTACATATCTTTGTTTACATTCACTACTGAC